TATTTATTTACAATTATATTTATTTATTTATTCATCGACGTAATACCTTGCAATAAACAACGTAACAACGTCGAACATCAACGTTGGCAGAAAGAGCAGCAGCACCCGCGAACCACTCCTGAATGTTTTTCTCGCAACAAAGGCGAACACGTTATAATAGAGACATTAGCTACATTTTTTTTTGGATGTGAGGAATAGGGCACGAAACATGTAATAAGTATTTATACACGGATAGTGTGTGAATATAGACACTGGACCATTCAGGCGCATGTAAGACATAATAAAAATTTATCTGTTTCTTGTTGACACATTGACAACATCGTAGCTTATGTCATCTCACCATATCATCACACGCTAGAGATTAAAGAGCTCTGAGCAAATTTGCGTATGAAATAGCGAAGGAAAGGGGAGAGAAACAGAGACGATGAAAGAGGGGTGAGCGAAAGCAAGCGAGAGATGCGCTAGAGACAGGGACAGAGACACAGCCAGAGAGAAGGAGAGAGGGAAAGAGAGGGAGCGAGAGAGAAAGAGAGAGAGAGAGAAAGAGAGAGAGAGAGAGAGACGAGAAGAGACAGAGAAAAAATAGAGCAAGAGAAAGAAAAAGAGAGAAAGCAAGATACATTGATAGATCGAGAAAGAGAGCGAGGGGTAGAACGAGAAAGAGGGAGAGGGGGAGAGCGCGTGAAAGAGATAGCAAGGAGGAAAGATCTTATAATCGCTCCACAGTTAGAGAAAAACAGTTCATGCATATCCTCATGGGACTTAACTAAAATAGGGGAAATGGAGAAATTGTGGTACTTGTAAGACAATTCTTTGAATATGCATGGAATCTCCGAATTAAAACCTACATGTAAAATGATAATAAAAATGGGGAGCATTATATCATCTCCTAAACTCGAATAATTAATTATTGTTGTACATGTATGTATTTATGCATTTACTGCTAATAAATAAATTATTCTATCTATAAATTTATCTATGTCCTCTACACATATAATAGGAAACTATACTGATCTAAAGGTTTCCGATCCTATAAACACACACCTGTACATAAATACATGTATTCACGTATTATTTTTTCGGCTTTATATCACAAATAACCCACAGATTCTCAGAAGGAGCGCAGTATCTAAGACTAATTAAGACGCAGTATCTAAGACTAAGACGCAGTATCTAAGACTAACATATCGCATTTGTTTCGCTGTAGAGCGAAATGACTATTAAGCGTTCGATTACTCCTTTGATTAATTCCTCAATTACTTAATTAACTATT